AGAGAGAGAGAGAGAGAGAGAGAGAGAGAGAGAGAGAGAGACAGAACCAAGCTTCTGCTCCACCACGAGCACGATTAGAAACCCGAGCGAGACACTGTAGGGGTCAACGCACTTGCTGCAGGCATGCCAGGGAGCCCGGGAACTGCAGGTTCTAAGCTGAAGGGTCACCTGGGAAGGACAGCCCGGTACTTCGGAGGGAAAGGCACGTTTGCTTACACCCTTCATGGTGAATTCTAGCAATTCACACACTCTTTCATCTTGCTTGCTTGCATTTTGGCATTTAAAGTAACGAAACTGCCAGCACTATCCCGCTCTGAAAGGGCATATGAAAGCAACAAAACATATTCTCACCTGAAATGGAATGCCATTTGTTGCCTAAAAGTGAAAATAAAAAAGGTGTGTACTGTTAAATCTGGGTACATCTCCCTCCCCCTAAAATCTCTTTAAAATACCTCTTTCAGGTCAATCAATTGGGAACAACTTGGAGTTTTATCACTACACTACCAGCCCATTATTGTATTCAATCCTCTGAACTCGGATTTGGAAGGACTGTCAAAAGGCAGAGTAAAAGCTAAAAAATACTCAACTAATACTCAGACACATGCATATACAGATACATGTAAAAGTCCTGATACCGCTCAGTGACAAACTAAAGTATGGAAATGTAACTCTAGGAAAGGAGGCTCAGTAAAGTCAAACTATCTTCAAATACACGGGGGGAGAAGCATTTTAGCAGTTAAACTCAGAAAACAAGTAAAAATGAAATAAAAACTGTTTTCTGCCTCTCTACTCCCTACTCTTCCCAAACAAGGTCAAAGTTTCTAAAATGAAACTTCCCAGTCCATTAATAAGAGACGTGAGCCAAAATTCGGGGAAAGGATCTGTATTTTAACACCTGTAACCTGCCCAGCACTGTCTCCGGCCCGAATACACAGCAATGAACAAAAAACACAAAACCGTCCCTCACTCTAAGTTTACACAGGAAGTGGTAAAAACTACCTACTTCGCCTTCCTGACGATTTCATCTGTAAAACTGGGGAACTGGACTAGGTGTTTTTCACGGTGTTCCAAAACCCACAGGACCTCCACTTGTTAGCCACACTCACTTCGTCTTTTCCTGACTTCTCTATCCACAATTTCCTTTGGAAAAGCAAATGTTTCTAATACGTCCATTACGGAGGACTCAGGGATCAGACTGTGGGCTCTTCTCAGTGGACCCCAATGGATGCACTCTAAATTCAGGCCAGTGTCTCCCGGGAGGGGTGTCAGGTGGCACACGTGAGGGCTCAGGCTAATCCCAAGCCTCTGGCTGTCACCCACTGACCAGGAGCTGGAAACTGAGGTCCCACTGCCCCTTCCTTGGATCCAGGAACTTGCTGGGACAGGGCTCCAGCGCTCAGCCAAACAAGTCCGGGTTACTGCGCAGCGCATTCCAGAGGACGGAGTGAGGCTGCAGGGAACTGACGCCAGCGCAGGGCCCCAAACCAAACCCCCATCAGACTGAGGGCTTCAGAGAGGCCGGGAGCGCCACCTCTGCTCTGCCCACCCCACCCCAAGCCAGGGCCAGGGACAATCACTAGGGCTCTCAGGTGAGGTCCTGCCCCAGGCAAGCTCTTGGCCCCGCCCTCAACCTCTCATCAGCACACTCAGGTGTGGCCCAGGTACGGGCTTGGGAGCTGTGACAGAACCGGGGGCAAAGGCCCTCACACTGTGTGCTGAAGAAGTAAGTGACCTCATTCCATCTTCTATGATTTTTTGAGACAAGGCTTCACTATGTGGTTCAGGCTGGCCTTAAATGCATTCTGTAGCCCAGACTGGCCTGCCTCAGCCTCCCAAGTGTTGGGATTACAGGCGTGAGCCTATGCATGTGGTGTCCTGTGACATTTTTTAACTCATACTTCTGATCTGTTTCTTTTTTTTTAACCATACCTGGAATTCCACAGATATCTATTAAAAAGCAAATAAGTTTATGTAGAGTTGAAGTATAAAAAACTCAAATGACTGCCTCCTAATCTTTATATTTTTTTCTAAAATTAGCAAACGAAACAGAAACAGATTTGATCATGTTTCTCTACTTAAACTAATCCCTTCTACACAAACAAAACAAAACCTGACCTAGCTCTGTATTGCCAAATCCTCAGGCCATTCTGCATCGGGCCTCTCCTGACTGCCCTAGGAATGACCCCACCTTAGCTTTCTCTTTGTCACCAGCTCCCCTGGCTGCTCTGGGTGGCTCTCGGGTTCTCCAGACCCCACAGCTGCCAGGCGCGAACTTGTGTGCTGTGCCTTCTTCGTGTAGACAGGCCTTTTCCCGGCCTGCCTGTCAAAGCCCTCCAGGACAGGCACAACCAATTCGAATGCCGCCAAAACGGGAGTCAGGCAAGGAGGAGGCAATCTGTCTTCTCTACTACCTTAACCTGGAGGACTTAACTTGTAAGCAGGCAACAAATGTCGACATGGTAGCAACTTTACATGAAGGAAATTATTACAAACAGCAGAAAGCAAGCATTTTCTATACCTGGCATCAAAATATTGTTTGTTCTTCCAACTTTAACATCCGATTTGGCTAAGCAAATATCCTGGCATCCTCGAGTGTTCACAAAATTTACACGGCTACCATAAATATTTGCCACTTTAAAACTGTCCGTTCCATGAAAACGCATACTCAAAAAAATCAAGGGAAGACAGTCCTTGACTCACCCCTAGGCATGAGTTTACAGAGTTCTAATACGTGAGGCCTGCTCCTAAACCACCGTTCTACTTGCTTCACACAAAGCCGTGTTAAAAAGAAGTATTTACATTAAGGTTACAAGCACAGAAACGTCTTGGAAACAGTACTTTCAAATCTATTCAGAACAAGCGTATCACCCTAACAATATTGTTTGCACTCGAATCCCTGTGTTGTGAACTACTTTTGGAGGAAAAGGATGTAATACCTAGGAGCAAGGCTGATCCAGTGGATAGTAGTCAAGGCATCACTTCGGATCACGAAAAACTTCAACCTCTGGTTCTTGGCAGTAACTACAGCTTTTGTGTTTGAAAAGCCATCGGCTGAGGAACTCAAGATGTTGCTGACAAAGTCTGTTTTCATTAGCGAACTGGATAAAATAGGTCAATTATTTGAGGAATAATAGTGTATCTTTGTTCCCTACCAGCGTAAGACAGACATTTTTCTAAATCCAGCAATTACTTTCCGAGGTTCTCCGACATCCTAGCAAGTCGGTACAGAGTTCTCCCGCCCCACCGCTGCCCACGAACACTCCAAATCTCAAGATTAGGAAGCAGACGTCCCAGAGTCGTCATTTTCCAGCCGAAATCGCTGCATTCCCAAAGCCCGCGACCTTGGAGGAACGCAGCTTGCGTGTGGCACCGGGTGCTGCCCCGTGGAGGCCGCGCCCGAGCCAGGCCCGAGCGACTCCCGCACTTTCTTCTATTTCTGAAAGTGGGAGCTCGGAAAACAAAAGCAAAGCGAAACCAAACCAAACCCGCTCAAGCCACCTGATCTGAAAACGCTCGTCTAAGGCCGTCCTGACACCTGCTCCCTTTCAAGCCCAGGGAGCAAAGTCCCCACGAGGGAGCAGTCGTGGCCACCACAGCCCCGCAGGCCCCGCGGGGTGCCGTCCCGGCCCGCCCCCGGAGCCCCTTTTGGTCCACAAACTCGCGTGCGAACTTCAGCAACCTCCCGGGCACGGCCGCGGGACCCCGCGATCGCCGCGAAGCCGCCGGGCCGGGCTGGGCCGGGGGCGGAGAACAGACCAGCCGGCCCCGCACCCACGACTGCAGCTCCTCACGCGGGGTCCGCCCGGCCCGGTCTCCGCCCCCCACGCGGACCCGCCCGTCAGGCCGCGCGCTCACCGTTCTGCCGCGCCGGCGCCGAGCCCGAGGCCGCCAGGGCTCCGGGGGCGACGGCCGTGCCGGGCCGGGGCGGGGTGCGGGCGCCGGCGGCCGAGTGAGGGGACCCGGCGGGGGCCGACATGGCGGGCGGCGGACGGCAAAGGCAGCGGCGACTGCGCCCGGAAGGTGGGCGTAGGGCCGGGGGCGGGGCCGGCGGCGGAGGAAGAGGAAGGAGCGCGCCTGCGTCGGCGCCCGGAACCGCCGGGACCCGCCCGGAACCGCGCTTATGGGCCCGACGCTCCGCCGGACCGCGGCGTGGGACACCACCTAGCCCCGCCCCGCCCCATCCGGCCCCGCCCCTCTTGCGCTGGAGCTGCCGCAGCGCCCCCTGCCGGCGGAGCTGGCGCAGACCGAGGGACCCACCGCGCAGTGCTCAGAACCTGGGCTTTGGTTTTGACTGTTTACCCTTGAGCTGAAATGCGGCAGTCAAGCTCCATGTCTATTGGTAGCGAGTGATTCCTTGTTAAAGACAGGAGAAAGGATTTCTCTATGATAAATACAGGACTTACTGAAAATTGAACTAGTCAAAGCCGGGTGTGGCAGTGCGCACCTGCAATCCCACCACTCCAGGAGGCTGAGGCAGGAGGACCACAAGCGTGAAGCCCGGCTTTCATTGGGAAACTTCGCGACTTACTGAGACCCGCTCTCGGATTTCTTTAAAAAGGCAAAAGGGTGGGGGATGTAGCTCAGTGCAAAGGGTCTGGGTTCAAACCCGCTACCAAAGCAAGAGACTTCATCTTCCCAGGAAGAGGGAGACAAACTTCATCTTGCATCTCTGCCAAGTGTTAGGTCATCTCGGTGCTCAGCGAGGCTGTGGCGCCGGAGTCGGGTTGCTGGGTCTCCCTGGAGAATCTTCCGGGCCCGGGTCGGCGCAGGCTAACTGGGAAGCCAGCCCCGCGGCCCCGAGGCCACCACCACCCTGCTGTGGACACGGGACTGTTCAGCTCAGCCGGAGTGGGATCTCGCAGGAGCATTCGGGAGCCATGGGCGGGCTAACTGGAAGTACAGTGGACCCTTGACTTAGGGACGTGATCAGTTCCGGAGGGCTGGTTGTAACTCAAGTTGGTGGTAAGTCAATACAGCTGAGATCTGGATGTTTACCTGGGTACACGCCATAGAGAACAAGAGGCAGATGAACCTTTCATTGACCCAATTAACCCAAGTTGTTCGCATGTCAGGCCGGTCGTAACTTGAGGGTCCACTTTACTGTACTACAAAGCGTGGAGCGTGTGTGTCGGTCCTAGGATAATTCATGAATTCGTGATGCTGGTTACTTAACGCACCAAACTACAAATGGCGGTTTAGCGCCTGGACCCGTACTTCGGGGCTCTGGGGTGACTCACACCTGCCGGACAGGCGCCAGTTCGGCTCCCTGCGCTCAGGACGGGAGCCCTCCCCGCCCCTGAGAGTCCGAGCCGGGCTGCAGCCGTCCCCCCGGAGACTTCCTGCTCCCGGTGGGAGGCGGGAAGAAGGGGGACCCCTCCACGAGGGGGAGGCGCTGTTCTGGGGAAGCCCAGAACCTCGGGCTTCTGATGGTCGCGAATTCCCGCCGCGCCGCGCGTTTCTAGCGAGCTTCCGGTACCTGAGAATCTGCAGGTTGGGAAGGGTCTCTGACTTTCCCCTCAGGCGGCTCTTTTAAAAAACTCTGGCACTGGGGATTGAACCCAAGACCTTCACACTGAGCTGCATCCCCAGCCTTTTTTACTTTTACTTTTTACATTTTGAGACAGGGGCTCATTAAGTTGTCCAGGCTGGGCTGGAATGTCCACCCTCCTGCCTCAGCCTCCCTGAGTGCTGGGAATCCAGGGCGAGCTGTCCTCCGTGCACCAGAAGTGGGAGAACCCTCGTGTCTGCAGACAGAGGGGTTTCCCGCAGTCGCTGCCCCAGGACTTTTCATCACACTTGGGTCGGACCCTCCTGCTCCCCCTCAAGTCTGCGTCTCCGTGTCTCCTTAGCAGGCTCAGCTGTCCTGGAGAACTTACAGGAAATAAGGTTCCCTCGCCCATTTGCTCAGGCAGGTTGCCCTGCCCTAGTGTCCTCTCTCGGCTTGAATAGTCATGACTGTGTGTGTGTCATTTAGTTCTCACAATTAGCCTATGGAATATTTTTCTTATCTTCTTTTGGCTGATCAGTAAATTAAGGATTATGGAGTTCAAATAATCTTAGTAAAAATCATGACCTGTAATCAGCAGAAGCAGAGCTCATCTCAGTACCCTTGTTTCCTTCATTACAGCCTGCACTCTGTTAAAATTTGCCTTTTCCCCATAGGGCCATGCTAGCTAGGATATCCTGTTTTGCGTGTCAAAGCATTTCTTGTTTCCTGTGTGTGGGATGTGTGCCAGTGTTCTTTGGAATGGTGGATGGGAACATGCTTGAAATGCAAATTCTCCGGCTCAGCCCCAGACCCATGGAATTGGGAGGGAGGTCCTGAGAGGGGGCCCCAGGACCAACTTTCCAAGTGACTGATGACACACAGGAACATTGTGAGAGTCACTTCTTTTGAGGAGCAAAGTTAAATTCAGTTGGCTCATTTGCCTCTACTTTGTGTTTTTGTTTTGTGTGGTTTTTGAGATAGTCTTGCTGTGTAGGTCAGAACTCACGATGGTCTTCCTGCCTCAGCCTCCTGAGTGCTGGTATCACCGGTGTGAGCTAACACACCCAGCCAGAAGGGAACTTTTTGAGGTGTGTCAAATTGTAACATGCATACCAGTATTTTTTTTTTTTTGGTACCGGGGATCAAACTCACAACCTTGTGCTTTCGAGGCAGGTGTGGTGCCCCTGAGCTACATCCCTGGTCCACACCAGTATTTGTCAGGCTCAGTAGGACTCACTGTCTGTAGCAGAAGGGTGCGCACCTTAGACAACTCCTAAGAATGACAGTTCAGTTCTTTCTCTACCATATCTTCACTTGTATTCCTCCACCAGGTTTTGGTGGTTGTTGTTGTGTTTTGTTTTAATTCTCCACAACTTTCTCAAGGTACTAAGGACCTCCAATATACTAGGCAAGCACTGTCCTCCCACAATCACCTTTTAAAGCTTTTTATGTTGAGATAGGGCTTGCTAAATCTCCCCAGTTGAGCTGGAACTTGTGTTCCCTCTGCCTCAGCCTCCCAAGTACTGGGATCGCCATGGTGACTGGCTCATTCTCTACTTTTAAAATCACATTTGACTTTGTAGAATGCCCCTCTCTTTTTAGTGGTGTTTTCTGTTAGGTGTCTGTCTCCCAATACAGAGAAATGATTTTTTTCTTTCTTCTCCTTTATTTGATCAATTTAAATATCTACCGCATTTTTAGTAGATCAAATGTTAGAGATGTAAAGATGAGCAAGGTGCAGTCTGTCCCCGGGGGTATGCAGAATCTCTCACATTTATTCTTACTGACTCATATGCAGATTTCCTTTCCCCTTCAAACTTTCCGTGTTAGTTTTTCTTCTATCCCTTGTTGAATGTCTCTTCTTTTTGTTACAACATTCCAATCTTGAGTTCTACAATTCTTTGGGAGGAATACACAGTTTCACTGACCTTTATATTATTTGATCATTTGTGTTGATGTGGTTGAACTGTCATTTAAGTCTCCATGGTTTGAGTCACAGTTGGGATTCTAAAAGAAAAAGAGAATGAAATTATGAGGCAAGTAATCATCGCATAGCCAAACTGCACAGCAGCGCATGGCCTTACTGGAAGTTCTCTCTGGTTCCCACATTCGGTTGTTATTTTTCACAGGCTGTCATTTCTGTAGCCATCCACTTATCCATCCCACGGCATATTAACAAATTAACAGTAACAACTCACAGGCAGGGGAAAGACAGGCTGTTCACACAGGCAGCTTGAGAGCAGCAAGTGCTATCAGTTGCAAAGTAAAGACAGGAAAATTAGAAAAATGGAAGAATTAAAAATGCACAGCACTCTGGTGGTTGGTTAAACCCAACAGCCCTGTGTAACCACTAGGAACGTGAGAAGCATCCTCTGAGAGCCTGCAAACAGCTGCTCCAGCAGGCTGTGCTGAAGGATCTAGCACGTACCACACACCTGCATGGCTCCACGGCTCAGTGTGGCCCTGAGCATCGGGACCAAAGCAGGAATGCAGAGCCCTGGCTGTCAGCTCCAAGAAGGATTAAGGTATGTGCTGCACTGTTGCCAAAGACAGGAGATGCACACATCCCCCTTTTATTTTTTTAATTTTTTATTTTTTTTGGTACTGGGGATCGAACTTGGGTCCTTGTGCTTGCGAAGCAGGTGGCAGAACCACTGAGCTACATCTCTGGCCCTACACCCCCCTTTTAGAATCTCAGCAACTTTTACAGTTGGATGGTGTCGAGGCTGTGTCTAGATGTCCCCAAAGCCTCATGTGGTCAGAGGCGGCTGGATCTAGAGTGTGATGCTGGCATTAAGGGTGTGTGATTACTACTAAACCAGTCCAGTGATTGATTGGTTTGGCACCGCCCTAATCCCAGTATCCGGGACAGAATTTTAAAGGGGCAGAAAGAAGCTGCTGAGGTTGCTCGGACTTGTAGCTTGGTGTCTTCTGCCTTCTGCCCACCACAAACCATTTCTCCTCTCCGTGTGCCGCCCTGGCTTGACACCAGCCGGCCGCCGACTGAAGCCTGTACACACTGTAGGCCAAACAGACCTCTCCTCCTTTCACTTTGGATGTCAGGTATTTTGTCTCAGCAATGAGAAAAAGTAACTAAGACAGATGGCTTAACCTCTAAAGTTCTTTTGTTCCACAATTCCAATAGCCACTCTTTGACCACAGGTGCATTTCTACCAAACAAAGATGAATGGTCGTTTGAGGGTCTAGACCCATG